CCAAACCGCCCCCCCCCCCCCCCCCCCCCCTGGGCTCCGCTGCCCCTCCTGTGGGCCCAGGACCAGCATAACAAGTGTTGGTGGGTAGAGGGGAGAGAGACCGACGAACAGCCATTCACTGATCTCCTTCCCGCTCAATGGAGCCAGTAGTGACCAAATTTGCATAACTTGCATAACATTAGCTACAGAAGCTGGGGAAGAAGCTGTTTGACACACTTTGAAATAAAAAAAAAATAAAAAAAAGCTACAGACCGCCAAACTTCGTGCAGCCTTCAGATTGGCACAACAACAGTGCATAGAGAGCTTCATGGAATGGGTTTCCATGGCCGAGCAGCTGCATCCAAGCCTTACATCACCAAGTGCAATGCAAAGCGTCGGATGCAGTGGTGTAAAGCACACGGCCACTGGACTCTTGAGAAGTGGAAACATGCTCTGCCCTTGACTGGCTTGCACAGAGTCCTGACCTCAACCCGATAGAACATCTTTGAAATTAATTAGAATGGAGACTGTGAGTCGGGCCTTCTCCTCCAACATCAGTACCTGACCTCACAAATGTGCTTCTGGAAGAATGGTCAAACATTCCCATAGACACACTCCTAAACCTTGTGGGCAGCCTTCCCAGAGGAGTTGAAGCTGTTATAGCTGCAAAGGGTGGGCCAATTCAATATTGAACCCTACGGACTAAGACTGGGATGCATTAAAGTTCGTGCGTGTAAAGGCAGGCATCCCAATACTTTCAGCAATATAGTGTAGAATTGTATGTAATGTTTCACCATTGTGAAATTAACGAAACATGTGGATTGCAAGAGATTAAACTTCATGAGCTATTCACAACATAGCAGTAAAGTCAGCTTGGTAAAGAGCTGCAGTTGATGCCTCAATTTTTTAAACTTCTGGCACTACATAGCAACATAAAATATCTGTATGCAAGATTCTGCATTTACCAAAACTGAAAAAGTACTGAAAAATGTAAAAAACTGCATATAATACAAAAAATATCTTCAAAAATACAATAACAGGTGACTGCTAGCATATCTAGTGTTAACAGATTGGCAAGGAACTAAATTCTGTTCTTCTCTGCTGACTAAGTTAGGGATGCACCGATAGCGATACTATTATGGTTGAAGATACCGAGTATTTGGGCGAGCATTTTCAAATGCTCCAGATATTGGAACTTCCGGTATCAGAAAGCCAGGCAGCGAGTCATTACACACCACCCAGCTTCCTGATTGGCCGGAAAGCCGGCTCACTGCTCCTTCGTCACTTTGTGAAGAGGGAGCCGGCTTCGTGGCCAATCAGGAAGCCGGTCGGTGAGTCATTACATGACGTCTGGCTTCCTGATTGGCCAGGAAGCCGGCTCCATGCTCCCTTGTCACCAAGTGATGAAGGAGCCGGCTTTCCAGCCAATCAGGAAGCTGGGTGGCGTGTAATGACTCGCCACCCGGCTTTCTGATACCAGTAGTTCCGATATCGAGAGCATTTGGGAAAGTACGAGTACTCACCCAAATACTCAGTATCGGCATAAATACTGGCATTGGTGCATCCCTAATTTTATCATTAAAATTCCCCGGCTTCCTGATTGGCCAGAAAGCTGGATCCATGCTTCCTCGTCACCTGGTGACCAGGGAAAATGGCGAAGGCTTCTCGCCTAATCAGGAAACCGGGCAGAGAGTCAGTACACACTACCCGGTTTCCATAATGGGACTTCCGGTATCGAAAAATACCGTAAAGAAATATCAGTACTCGCACTCGATACAGAAAAACCGTTAACGGTGCATCCCTGCTTTAAATATACATGCCGTCAAGGGTTTTTTTGAAAAGAATAAGAATAAAAACACTATATCTTACCACAAATCCCCAAAATAAGCCAAGGCATCGCAAGAATTGCTTGTATTCCAAATAAGTTGTCCTTGCTACATGCATGTGAAGGATAGAAGTACAGCAAGTATGAACAGTACTAGACTACATCTCTCACAGCACACAGAAACACCATCCGGCTTCCATGGAGTTCCCCTCAGTAGGAACATGAGTAAGCCACTTACAGAGGATAGCAAATAAGGCAGTCTGTATGTTATAAGAGAGCAGACAAGCCAATATAAAATAAAACATACATATAAAAGGCAAACAAATAATAATAATAAAAAAAAACAACATACCTTGATCCTGTGAAATCTTACAATATCACCAACTGAGTAAATTTTTGGTAAAATAGCTTGATTTCCACTGAAAAATGTGCATAGCAGCTTGGTATTAGATTGATCCATGATTGTAACTGTAGAACAATAATCTGCAACCAAAAATGTACAAAATGGCTTCATTACATATACATCTCAAATACACAAGATATTTAAAGTGTACATTACCCCAAATTTAATATTTCATATACATGATTGTGTGTTCACGTAAATGTAGCCTGTTTTGTTTCTCTGTCAAATACCTGGTTATTCTGCCAGTCCCCCTTTTGCAATCTGGCCGACCCAAGCATAGAAGCAGATTTGTGCTTCTATACTTGGGTCGCTGAAAATCGCTGAAATTCTTATGTTAGCCCATTTTTTTTTTTACTTCCAACACATCAACCTCAGGGACAAAATGATCACTTGCTGCTTAATATATCTCACCCCCTTCCAGGTGTCATTTTAATGAGATAATCAATGTTAGTCCCTTCACCTCTCAGTGGTCATAATGATATGTGGGTGTATATCTTTTTTTTTAACCCTGTAAATCAGGTTCAATTACTGAAAAGTAGAATCAGGATTTATTACTGCACAAGAACAATAGACCTTACCAACTTTATTGCTGTCATAATCACTCATTTATGTGGCACCATGCCATGAAGACCTCTGTAAACGTTAAAGGAGAACTATGGGGTCAGTGTTTTTCCCCATAGTTCTCCTTAGGGTAAAGGGAGGACACAAACTAGCGTCCTCCCATTACCCTAAGCTCAGTATACCGCGAGCTACAGCTCGCGGTATACTTAGACGCCGCAGCCGGAGCGGATCCCGACTTAGATGACGGGATCCACCCAGTTGCGTGAGTGACAGCTGGCTCTGCCTATCTAGAGGCCCGCCCCCTCCCCGTCCGTTCCGCCAGTCAGCGCTGGCAGATCGGAGCGGGGAGAGGGGAATCCAGCCCTCCCCCTGTCACGGCAGAGAGCCGTGACAGGTTCGAGAGGTGAGCGAACCCGGTATGTGTTCGCTCACCTCCCGATCTACTGAGCCGACCTGTGACAGTCTCATTGTCACAGGTCGGCTAGAACTATGAG